GGAGTCAGTGCACACCACTGACCCACTGCTGGGAGGCCAGTTGCAGGTTTCCCCATCGGGACTTGGGCAGAGGCTCGGACACCCCTAAGTGAGCAAGAGGAGGCTCGTGGTCAGGATGTTCTGGAATCTTCCCTGAAGGAATTTACCAAGAGTGACCTTCCATACCCGCCCAGCCCTCCCCCTCTCCCTACCCTGATGGTGGCATGTAGATTCTAGCTTTCCCTAAGAAAGATCCTAGATTTTCTTTCTGTAACAGTCCGTGAGACCTCTCAGGGGAGGACTGCCAGGCCTGATGTCAGTGTGTGCGTTGTTGGATTTTGTCCAGGGTCAGGGGAGAAAGGGCCATGTGTTTAATGAAGGGAGAGGTAAGGGATGTTTCAGAACACTTGTTTCCTCTGTGGGTGAAGGATTATTAGGCACGTATGAGATGACCTATGACTCAGAGCAAAGTTAGGGTAAGCCTAGAAATGGTGTAATTCTAGACCATTTCTACAGAGCGGAGAAGTGAAAGGGGAGGTAAAATCGAGATAAGTCCTGTGTTGGTCAAGAGTGAGCATGGTGTGGTTGTGGTATGGTTGTAGGAGAGGAAGGACATTGGAGGCCTGGAGGCATCATCTGGAGGATTGTGGCTTGGTCTCACAGACGGACAAAGGACCGCAAGAAGGGACGGGAAGGCCCACTGTCCACCAACTAGTGTTCACACATTAAATCATTAGCAAATATTTATTAAGGGGTAGATTGTGCTGGGCTGTAGGAGTGGAACCACGGGCAAGGCCATCTTCTTCCCGAACACGAGGGTCACTTAGTGTGTGATGGAGACAGGTGGTGTCCATTGATAGTGGTGTAAGGAGCGCTGTGTGCGGTTCCAGGGGCAGCCACGGAGGAGACAGGGTGTGGCCGCGCCTTTCGTGCACAGGCTTGTGAAAGGTGTCCACACAGAAAGGCTGTGCAGAGCCTGGGGGTTGCAGGAACAAAATCCAGGGATAGGGTTGGAGAAGCGCGCGGCTATGGCCCAGGGCCATGGCAGAGAGCCCAAGCCACCAGAGAAACTGAAAGCAAGTCAGGGCTGTGCGCCAGTGCTTCTCGCGAAGTGGCAGGAGCTGGGGACCGAGACCAGAGAGTGTGTGACTAGGGGAAGCCTGTTGAGAATCATGGCCTTTATCTAGAGCTGGAATGCCTAGCTACGTTTTACAAAATCTTTTGGTGGCATAATCTCCTTGGCGGCCTAACAGAACCTATAAACTCCTGTGAAGAATAATGTTTTTGTTTAAATAAAAGACACAGAAAGGAAATCATTCTTATTGAAATACAGACACTGAGACAACTTTCATATATTAAAACCATATCGGAAACACCTTTGTATTATAAGTCCTTTTTTATTAACTGCATTAAGTAACAAGATTTGGCAGTGGGTCTGATGAAAACAATTTCCAAGTTATGTTCAGCAAAAACAATACGTTAAGGTAACTGTAATGACTGTGATATCATAGAAAAGTGGTGTGGGTTAGGGTTTGCTGCCTTTAATGGATGGAAATTAAACCTTCACTTTGGAGGTGGTAGAAATGAAGCTGTAACTTTTGCCATTCAAATTTATGAACCCAGTATCCTGCCCGCACACCCCAGCGAGAACTGCTAACGTAGTCATGTCATCCAAAGATTTCAGCAGGGAGTGAGTGACAGGGTCCGGCGTGCGTGCGGTGGAGCCTGCGTGCACGAGAAGCCATGGAGTTGCGTCTACTGGGAGCAGCTTGTGCAGAGTGCCCCTGACTGTGTTCTCACAGCACCTTCGTGTGAGCACAGTGTTGGCAGTGCTGTGTGCCTTACGGCAGTGGCATATACCCGTGTGGGTTTGGTATGACTCATAGACTGGCACACAGAAAAAGGGTGAATTTTCCTCCAAATATACACTTATAAGTCAGATTTTAAAATGCAGTGTCACATCAATTAATGTTTACAATTTAAAGACAAAGTTTTAATCTGCATTAGAAATTGCAGCCTGTGCGCACTGATTCAAGTTTAAGTCAGGATGGCTTGGTTACAACAAAGCCCTGGCATGGCTTGACCCTTTCCGAAGGCCGTAATCTTAGCTCTGGAGGGAACCTTCTGGCTAGCTGCCTTCTTTCTACAGTTCTAGACAGAGGCATTGATGTTCAGAACAAATGGTTCAAATGATTACATTTAAAAATGGGAAAAGCATAAAAGAAAATTATAATTAAAGAAATGTGAAGAGGGGGCTGGCCAGATAGCTCAGCAGACTAAAGCATCTGCTTAGGCCAAACACGGTGCCCCGGGGCACGCTGAGAGGCAACTGAGGCTGGGCGTGGTGGTGCACACCTGTAATCCCAGCGCTTGGGAGGCTGAGAACAGGATCACTACGAGTTTGATGTGTGTAGTGAGACCCTGTAGATGCTGTACTAAATATATAAAAATGAAATAAGCATAAAATGTGAGAAAGTATTAGCAAAATGCTTGTCTGTGATTGGTTTGGGGCAACTGAGGGAAGAAGTGAAAATGTGATATATATTTGAAAAATAAATCTGTATTTTATTTCATTCACTATAACTTGTCACTAGCTTGGAGATGAACTGGAATGCTTGTCGCTCACCCCCAGGTCCATATGTGGACATCCTAACCCCCAAATGATGATTAGCAGATAATGGCATCCTGAGAAGCAGCCACCATGTGAAGCGACCCAGTGACACCTGAGCTCGGTGCTGCCCCGGGCGGGCGGCCCGGGGAGGAGCAGGCTGCCGGCCACCTACAGAAGGCGCTCACTGGATTCCGGGCTGGGCTCTCGGACCTCACACTTCCAGAACTACGAGAAATACATTTCTGTTGTTCAGGGACTGCCTGCTTTTATAGCAATCTGAACTAAATCACAGTTTGCAGGAAAAAATATTCTGGGGTGTGCTTGTTGGAAATGCGGTCGTCCGAATTCCCTTCCCATTGCATTTGTAGCTCATGTGGGGTGCCCTATTTTGATCTCAACACGTGTCCTTTGGAATCCTCCAATAAACTCCCCTTATCCCCACAAAAATGATTCTGGGAGTGGCAGACTCACAGTGTTGGGAAAGAACCGTTGCCCTGAGGTCAGAAGCTTGATGTAGACTTTCTGGATCCAAATACAAATTGCTGCCTGCTGAACTCCGATCCTGAGGCCCTCTCTCCATTGTTAGAGGCAGACCGTAGACTTGTCCTTTCTAGCTTTGGTCCCGACCGTGACTGCGATCCATAGACAAGCTGACCAGGCTCTGTGTTGACAGCGTGGCGGCAGAGGCTGCCAAGCCTTCATGGCACTTTTCACACAGCCCAGCCAATGAACGTGTGTAGCTTTCTGGTATCTGAATCTGTGTGTCTGAATACTTCTTGGCAGTAAATTACTTCTTCAACTATGAACCTGTAGTAATCGCACTCGGGTTTATATTATTTCCTCCAACTCTGCTGCCGGCTGATAGGTAAATCTGGCAATTTCAGCAAGCTGGGTTTGAGCGGGGAAGTGGAGACAGGGCAAGAGCACCCTGAGATAGATCGGGCCTCTGTGAACAACCTGAGCCCTGGGGGTGCCGTCGGGAGTGTGCAGAGGAGTAAGGGAACTCGCTCTGGAGCAGCGGGACAGCTGCCCCTGAGGGAACAGTCTCGGGTTCAGTCAGCACATGAGGATGGGTATAAAAGCATGAGATCAGTCCTGTGGGATCTTTAAGGGAAAAGGAGATCAGAACAGTAAAAGCCAACGCTCCCCCTTGAAAGGTCTTAGTCACTTTCTTCACAACCGGACACACTGCCTGACACCCACAGTTTCAAGGAGAGGTCACCTTCAGAGCACAGCAGGGGGCAGTGCCTGACAGCGGGGTACGGTGGAGGAGAGCTGCTCATGGTGTGGTGGACAGGAAGCGGAGAGGGAAAGGGGATCTCAGGAGGAAGATGCACCTTGCCAGACCACGCCCACAGCGACTCAGCAGTTCTGTCCCAATGCCAGCTTGTATCAAAAGGTCATACACCCATAATCCAAACAGATCCCCAAAGCTTATGATCATAATGAGGCTGTGGGAGGAGAGAGCTAGATATAACCCATGAAAAATGTCTGTTGAGTGTACCTGGGGGTCAGGATGTGGGTGGAAGGAGAGAGGAGCCTGCTAGTGGCGCTGGGGTCTCTGACCCTGCAATCAAGGCACACGCTGGAAAGCAGTTGGGGGATTTCTGCAGGTGATCATGGGAGACGACTCAGTAGCACAGCTTCCTCTCCTGGCCCATCAGACACAGGGTGCCCTCAGATCTTGGGCGTTGAGGATCTTGTACTACTACTGAGGTCAGCAGCTGGGCAGTGGTGTCAGTAAGCATCTGGGCATAGTTAGGCAGGGCCACTGTAGACCTGCAGCTCATACACATGTATTTCCATGCAGCAAAGCATGGAAGACCAAAGGAATTGCATTCAGCCTTTCTGAGGTCTCCGGTTAAATTCCAGGGAGGAGAAGCTGGTAGAACTGGAAAGGACCATGGGTCCATCTAGTTCAGTTTCTTCTAGGAAGGAAGAATGCACAACCCGCAGGTGAAATCGGTGCCCCAGGCAGGGCTGCTACTCTCCAGCCTCATTCCTTGAGATCCTTGCCCCTGTGTCTCTTGCAGGGCCTGGAGTGGCATGCAATTTAGGATGCTGCTGGGAATGACCCTGGATCCCTCTCCCAGTAAGACAGGTGCCCTGGGTGGCACCAGCAGCCGTATGACTCGTGACTGGGACAGTGCTGAGCTGCTAATGAAGAGGCCCCACAGCTCAGCTCAGGGTCTGTGAGTCCCTGCCGCTGGGGCCTCGTGCTTATCCTGTCCTGGGTGGATGCAATGGCTCTGATTTCGCTTTCCTGCTGGCTCGGAGGAAGGTAAGTATCTATTTCTCTGAACTTACCCTAAAACGTTAACACTTACACTTCCAGAGTCCAAGTCATAACCAGCACTTGAGAAATAAAATCAGAAAAAAAAAAAAAAACCATGCACACGAGTACTGTGTTTTTTAGCATCATGTTGTTAAAGGTGCTGCCGCTTGTGGCCGCCCCGCAGCTCGGCTTTCGCACTGCAGCTGGGTGGCAGGCCCGTGAGCGGGTGCTCCAGAGTCCTCCCATTTCCCCGAAACCAGTATTTACAAAGCTGAAGAAATACGATGTTATCTTTGGCAAAGAACAGTCTCTAAGCATTTTCATTTGCTTCCTTTGGCGTGGCAGAGTTTATCTGGTCACTCAGCAGAATACGGCGACTTCATCTAAAATTGAAAATGAAAATATTTGTTGAGGAAACTGCCCATAAATCACTTTTCCTTTTTGTCTACTAAATGCTGTATACTCTCTACTGGTTGACTCAAGAACAGTAATTTTGGTAGATTAGTGTGAAATAAAAGACAGCTTTTGAGTAGGGGGAGAACTGTGTGAGGGAGGGAAGCCTATTGCAATAAAAATTGCAAAAATGCCATAAAAAAGTGAGTATGAAGCGCAGCAAAAGTTCAGTGAGACCTAGAAGCTTAAGTGACATCAGGGCAGCCAACATGGGACGAGTTACTGGGGAGAGGAGTGTGGAGTTTTCCATCCCTAGAGAGAGAAGGACTGAAAATCACTTGGTTTCTCACCAGATACAAATCTGGGGTCTCAGGGTCCCTCCAAGATTCTGTGCAGATGACCATAACTTTCATGTAAGTCGTGAGCATAAGCCTGGCAACATGGGGGGACATACACGGGTAGACTGAATTCTGGGCTGCATGCACGTGCTAGAGATCAGAATCTCCGGAAGAAGCAGAGTATTACACTGCTGTTAATGTGATTCCTAGACGACTTGGAGGGGATCTGAGCCTGGTAAGGCAGTGACCACCATGAAGGGTGGGATTTGTGGTGCTGGAGTCCCTAGAATTGGTGTTAAAGCAAGCTTCTGAACACTGACTGGTCACATAGGTTGTTGCTGTAGTGGAGTGTGCGGGATTGTTGGGGCCGGAGAGCGGGGACAGTGTGCTGGCACAGGGCACAGCGACACTTTGCCCTCTGCTGGGTTTTGATGGAAAGAATTTAATGAAGCAGCTCTGGCCAAGTAAGGTGCCTGCTTTCAACGCCCGCGGTGTCCGTGGTGCCAGCCCCATCCGTGGCTCGCACTTCCCCCTCTGACTCATGGCCCCTGTGCCTCCCAGCCAGGGCTTGGAGCAGCGATGGAAAAGGAAGGAACATACAGCAGTCTCGATGGTTGCAGGACTCAGGTTTTCTCGCAGCACAGCATACACGCTTGGAGACATGGGCAGGAGGTCTGAGGGGGACTGTGGCTCGGTCAGATCACTTCGGCTTGAAGAGACAACACAACGATATTGCAAGGGTAGGAAGCGGTCATTTCTGGAACCCCTTTCTAGGGCTTCATCTGTTGGTGACACCAAGCTACCTAATTTATCATGTCACACCACAGCATCGAACCACTATAGAATATATGGCACATAAAAGGGCAACAGTGTAACTCCAGTCGTAACAGACTCTGTAAGTGTGCCCCAAAGACCAGCTTTATGAGTTACAAGAAATGAGACATAAAATGCTTTATTGGATATTAAAATGCTTTATTCTCAGTTATATGCACTCTGATCTACTCTTAAATCTCTTATAAGAAAGTCTTTTTTTTTTTAAGGTTCCATAATAAATGTTTTACATGTGACTGAGATTACTCACATTGTGGAAATCGGGATGAAAACGGAAGGAACATAACCTTTGTCTCCCCTTTCTGTCGGTCTTGAAACTAGAAAAGAAAGGCACAATGTTGGGGAAAATGTTACCAACATCACTCACAACATCAGAAAAAAAAATATCTTGAGAAATATCAATAATGCTAAAAGGAAGAGAGAGAATACACTTGGTTGGCGATTCACACAAATGTTTAGCTGACCCAGGGAAACAGTCATGTAGATCAGCCGAAAATGGGCGAGGAGAGAACACGTCCCTTTGCAGGCCTAACATGACTTCACATTTTTTTTAAATTTATGTATTCAGTGCAGGGTGTCAGTATGCAGCTCAGACTTGTAGTGATCCTCCTGTTTTCAGCCTCCCCAGCGCTGGGATTACAGGCGTGTGCCACCACACCCAGACTCAGTGGCCAGCTCAGTGTGGCTGAGGGCGGGGCCAGCGTGGCATGTGTTGCTGGAGATCAAACCCCAGTCCCTGTGCTTGCCTAAGCAGACACTTAGTCCACTGAGCTATCTTGCTGGCCCCCTCTTAGACTATAGATTGGACCCAGAGAGTGCTAAGCCACGTCCCCAGGCAGCCTGCTGTTCTTTCCTTTCCTTTCCTTTCCTTTTTTCTTTTCTTTCTTACCCCTTCCCCCATTCTCCCTTGTCTTCCCCTCCCCTCCTCTTTCTCTGCATTGAACTCAGGGAGTGCTGAGCCATATCCACAACCTTTCTTTTCTTTTATTCTTTTAAATTTTGAGGCAGGATCTTACTAGGTTAACCAGGTTGGCCTCACACATGCAATCCTCCGTCCCGGTCTCCCAACTAGCCAGGGTTCCAGGCATACACCAGTGTACCTGGCTCAAATGAAATTTTTTAGAAATGTATTTTTAATAGTGGGTTATTTTGAGTTTGTAGATGCAGCAAGAAGCATGACATGGGGGCACGTGCATGTTCACTAAGGAGCCAGAAGTGTGAGCCTTAAAATTATATAGCTGAGGGCCAGGGAGATGGCTCAGTGGAATAAGCGCTTACCTAGCAAGCGCAAGGGCCTGGGTTCAATCCCGAGTTCCAAGAAAAAAAAAAAATTATATAGCTTATTTCATGAGCTTACTTTTGTGTAGTCAGTAAATATTTACGGAATGCCTATATTGGCCAGATACTGTTCTTGGCTCTCAGGATACCCCAGGAAAGGTAGCGCGATGGAGGGGAGGGTGAAGAATTGACCCACATCCCTCCCCCACCCACGTAAATGAACAAACGCGGAGTTGTAAGACGACAGCGAGGGTAGAAACAAAATTCCAGACCCTTCCCACTTGCCACTGCTTTGACAGGGGTGATCAATGCCTTCTCCCTCCCTTCTCTTCCCCAGCCATAGATATGAAGTCAGCGTGGCTCCTGTCTTAGGAAGAGAAGCCCTGGGTCTACAGCGCACTGAGAAGTCCCCCGCCACAGGGAAGTTGGGGCAGCGACAGAGGTCACTCTGCTCATCTCTGGTGGCTCTAGTGGCCTCTCTTCAGCAACCACTGACCTCCAGGTGGACCCCAGGGCGTCACAGTGAACCAAAGGGGAGCATCATTTACTTTTCTCTGATACGATGTTATTTTCCAAAATGTTGGGAGAAACGTGGAGAGAGGACCTCACCTTCGCATGGCTGGGAGCTGTAGTGTTTTCCAAAGGCCTTATCTTTGGGGATATCAGGGTACAGGTACTTCAGGGGGTTTTCTGGGATGTTTTCAGCCATGATAACCTTGTAGTCTCGAAGGATGTCAGCGAACGGCAGAGCAGAGAGCCGGCCCTTGTTGTAGGGCTCTACTGAGTGGAATCTCACTTCTCCTGAAAGGCAGGCGTGGGGAGAACATCCAGCTGTGGCAGACCTGGCTCATGGCTGCTCTTTCTGCCCACACCAAGTCTGTGGCTGACAACCAGCATCAGACTTCTGCAGCCTGGACAGTACGCGTCGTGCGTGTGCAGGAGGGTGGCCGCACGGGCCTTCACCTGGCCTGGGACAACCTCAGCAGCTGACCTCCAAGCCCAGGGAGTGCCTGCTGGACCAACTCATGTGCCTCACCCTGCTGGAAACCCCCGTAACCTGAGGTGCTAAGTCCAGAGTGCGTACCGTTCTCAGAATGGTCCACCCAGGTGAAAGTTATCCCTCCAAGGTGGCTTTCGCTGAATCTTAACAAAAAAGTCCCAGGCATTTTATCTTTGAGCAGCAGTCGCTCCTTTTCTTTGCTAACGAAGCCCATGACATACCTAAAAAATGAAGCAGGGCATAGTTCACCTGATCATTTATGGCATTCGCAGTTAATTTCATTCATGTCGAACACATCAAAAGATCATTTTGTGTGTGATCAAAAGTCAACCATCCCTGACATACTCCTCGCTGTATGTATCCACACTGTTTCAAGAAGGTAAGAAACTACAAATTTCTTTTCCTGCCTATGGTACTAACCACGCTGAAAAGAAATGGAAAAACAATAAAATCAGAAAAAGAGAACCTAGCTCACAGAAACACAGCTCCAAACTCACCCATCAATCCAAAGGGGAAGAATGTGTTTCTTAATTAGATCCAATATTGCTTCAAGCCAGGTCCAAAAGGTAAATGATTTACCAGGCAAGTGTTCCTATTGGAATCAACAAGCGTGTCAGGATAATGATTAAACAGTAGCAAGGCACAGCAATTTCATGGCCATTTTTCAATAAAACTTTAAATTGAACAACTTTTTACTCTTTAAAAACATCCTTTTCCAGTAAGTCTTCAAAGTCTGAGCTTGGACGGGTACATTATTAATTTTAAATGACGCTTCTCCTCCCACATCCGTACCTTGCAGAACTTGGCCCAGGTGAGATGCCCATCACTGTAGCTGGACGGCACTAAGATCAAAGAAAATAAGATTTAAAAAATTCAACAAGGAGACCCTTGAATTTTGTTCTCAATTTAGACTTTTTTCTCCCTCCCAAGCATTGCTTAAGGGCCTGCTATGGATTTCCAGTGTACTGAACCGCGCTGGTGATGCAAGCATAGGATCGTGTGTCTTACTCCTAAGATGTCTCTCAGAAGCTCTTGAGAGAGGAGCTAACAAAGGCTTTAGGAAGCTCCATGAAAAGGTGGGATACACATTGTCAGGAGGGAGAAAGGGAAGCATTCCGGGGAACAGAAGTAACATAGGAGGTGTGCTGGTCTTTAGTGTGGCTCCTGTGAGGGGTCACAAGAGCTGCCTGACTCAGGCAAACAAACGCCTGAAAATAAAATTATAAAACTCAAGGAGAAGCTGGAGCGCCAGCAGTCTCATATTTAAAAACTGTATCAGTCATTAACAAAGATTAATTAAATGACTACTGTTCCTATTTATGAATTGAATATGGATCAAAAGACAAAAACAAGCAGTCACTCTGGGAGGAAGTCCCACCATCCTGAATTGTTTGAATATCTACCTACTCATGAGATGCAGGCAACAAGCAGCCTAGTGTGACCAAGTCGACCTCAGTCACCCGTGACTGTACCGCTGAGCAGGACTGTGTCTTTGTTCGGTTCTCCTTTAAGGATAAGTGTGTACAGACCAATCTGAACTCTTTTTAGTGTTAAATGTTTTGACACTACACTTGTCAAGATACAGATATCTCTTATTAAACTGGTG